TTACTAAGTGTGCACTGAATGACGTGTAAAATGTCACTCAAGTTTACCAGACCATCTATACATCCACTAAGATTCTAAGGGCTTTCTAATATGTTAAAGGACATGGTTTATAGGTAACTTCTTCTTCTTCTTTTATTTAGTTATTTATTTTGAGACAGAGTCTCACTCTGTCACCCTGGATAGAATGCTGTGCCATCATAGCTCATAGCAACCTCAAACTCCTGGGTTCCAGTGATCCTCCTGCCTCAGCCTTCTGAGTAGCTGGCATTACAAGTGCCCACCACAATGCCCAGCTAGGCTAACTTCTTCTTACTCTCCAGTCAACTATGCTAGGAGGTTGTGAATTCACCTTGCAATCTGATAAGAACGGGAAATCAAGACTTGTAGACCAGTGAAACAGAATTGAGAGGCCAGAAATAAACCTGCACATATCTGGTCAAATGATCTTGAGCAAGGGTGCCAAGAGCACGCCATGGGGAGAGGACAGTCTCAGAGACAGATGGCGCCAGGAAGACTGGGTATCCACACGCCCAGGACGAAGTCAGACCCTCACCTTGGAGCATATACAAAAATTAATTCAGAATGGAGTAAAGACCTGAATGTAAGGCCTAAAACGTAAAATTCCTAGAAGAAAATAGAAGAGGAAAAGTTTTAGGAGATGGGATTTGGCAATGAGTTTTTGGAGTTGATGCCAAACATGCAGACAACAGAAGCAAAAGAAGATGACGGGGCTGCACCGGCCGTTAGCGCTTCTGTGCATCAAAGGACACAGGCAGCAGAGTCAAGGGCAACCTGCAGCGTGGGAGAAAATACCTGCTAATCAGTATCGACCGGGAGTTCACATCCAGAATACTTAAAGAATTCCCACGACTCACTAGCAAGAACACAAAGTAACGAGGGCAATTAAACGTGGACAAAGGACTTAAAGAGAAATCTCTCCAAAGATGATATGCTGATGGCTAACAAGAATACAAAAACATGCTCAACATCACCAGCCAGGAGGGAAACACAGAACAAAATCACAGAGAGTTATCACCTTACACCGTCGGGATGGCTACCGTCAAATAATAAAAACAGCCACAAGATATGTCGGGGAGGAAGGGGAGGAGGGAATTGGAACTCGCGAGCACTGTTGGTGGCATCATGAAATGGTGCGGCTGCTACGGAAAACAGCGCTGCATGTCTTCAAAAAATTAAAAATAGAACCATCCTATGATCTAGAAATTCCGCTTCTGAGTTTGTATCTAGAAGAATTAAAAGCAGGATCTGGAAGAGATATTTGCACGCTATGCTCATTCACAGTGGTCAGGAGGTAGGAGAAACCCAGTGTCTGTGGATGGATGGATGGATGGATGGATGGATG